CTGCTTTCGCTGATCTGGCTTCCCGGATAATTCTTGCCGACCGAAACTTCCAAGCTCGATAGGCAACACTGCTTCCATGCCATATACTTAAAGAATACGGGGTTGGCCCCAGTTAGGTTGTCCTGATGTTGACAGTCCTGTTCCCCACAAGGCATTTGGCCAATTGTTTCGTGCCAAGTTCTATTGCTTTTGGAAACTGTCTTTCTGCAAAATGAACCTTTATAGCCTTGTTTGCAGCTTCTTACGGGCCCCATTCGTCTGTGGGCGGATAGGGTGAAAAGACTTGTGATGCTTGAATCTTCTTTTGTTTTCAGTAGGATCCGAAAATCACTTTGAAGTGAGATCCGTTATCCGTGATGATCTTCAAATGGTGTTCCATTACCGGACAAAAAGGATGTTGGTACGAACGAACTGGTGCTGCCTTCTTGGCGGTTTCAAACAACGAATAAAGAAGCTGCCTCAATCCAACTTGCTAAGGTAATACACGGCATTTTCTATTCCTTGTATCTTCTGCGTGCTTGAGCTAATAGGGCACCCATTGCTTCTTTCTGTCACAGACAGGACCGGAGTAGCAAAGGCTTCCTAGCGTGGGTGTAAAAACAGGCGGGTGATAGCAGGTATCGCCTTGAGTTTGGTCGAAAGCCGCCTGACAATCCTTTATTCCAATTGACTGCTACTCCTTTCCTTAAGTAGTTTTGAAAGATCGGGACCACAAGTATCGGCCAAACTGATTGATTGACCGGCTGATGTACTGTAGCCTTCCTAGGAAACCTCGGGACTTCTTTCCGGTCCTTGGTTGGCTGGCATTTCCAGAATAGCTCTAGTTTCGAAGGATCAATTTCTATGCCCTTTCCGACTAACCATGTTGCCCCAGAAAATACTCCGGATGTAGGCTCCAAACAGACATTTTGCCAGATTGAGCTTTTAATTTTGCTACTTTCGAAGTCTAAGGAAAGACTTCTCAAGCGCTGTCGTATGTTCTTCGGTCGTTCTGATTGACAACCATATCGTTCCACATTACACTTCTACTTCTTTTGTGAATCATGTCATGGAAGATGCGCTTGTTGCATCGTTGATAGGTTGCCCCGGCATTTTGAGCCCAAAAGCATAACCTTGTAGCAATAGGTTCCCACTCTGTGGATTTGAACGCCGTTTTCATCTTTGTCTGGCTCATGGCATCATTATTGATTATAAACCGACAGCAAAGATCAGTTCAAAGGGGACCATCTCGTTGTTCCAGCCAATTCGGTCCACTAACAAGTCAGAGTGTGCGGCAGAGGGAAATGCGTCCCTTCGGACATTGCTTTATTCAAATCCCGGTAGTCCACCACCACATTCGTAACTTTTCCATCCCTTCTTTGGCACCGGCCCACGATGTTTGCTAGCCATGTGCGGGTAGGCGATAGGTTCTATGAACTTGTTTTTCCAGCTGCTTGGCAACTTCCTCCTTGATTTTCAGGGACCATTCTGTTTTCAGCCTTCTTAGCTTTTGTTTCACTGCTTTAGCCTCCGTAGATATACTGGAATCTTGCTGCACCACTATTCGCTGGGTCAATTCCGATTGATGTCACTCGCTTTCCACATGAAGCAGATTCAGCAAATTTCTTCAAACATTCACTGACCTGTTTCCCTGTTCATGCAATCAGATGCGATGTATGTATGTTCATTTTCTTCTTTGCCAATTATTATTTTTCCTGTTCATTTTTTATTTTCATTTATTTGATTGCTTTTTTGCTCTGGAAATGCTTGGAAAGATAGACACGCAGGGGTTAATCAAGAATTTTGCAAGCCTTTATTAATTATTGACGGAATCGTCTTTCAAAGAATACATCGGAATTGAAAATCTGATCTTTCTAGGATCGACACCAGACGACTCGGAATTTGGACTAGACTCTGACTCGATTTCAGACTTCTAGGGTCAGGACTCAGACTGAGTACAGGACTTTATTACAGACTCGGGTACTAGGCTTGACTCGGGAGGGGGGTTTATCAGCAGCGCGTTCCTCCTCGGCGTACCAATTGGTGAGAGGACCTTCGTTCGCTGTGATCAGATCTAGGCAGGGTCTCGATTCCCGTTCACCTCCTGTGATAACCGCAACTTTCGTTCAAAGAGACTAGGCTGCATGGAAGTCTTCTGCTTCCAGTTCAGTTACTGTTTTGGGCCTGTTGCCCCAGACATCTGAGAATATCTCCAACCCAGGCAGCATCTTCTTTAGCGGTGGGCAGCAAAAGGATTCTCGGAAGCCACAGTATGGAACTGCTTCTCCCAATGTACGGAATATTAATGTTCAAAGTTCGGAAAGTAAGGCCGTTATTCTTGTACACTCTCGTTCCTTCCCCCTCTGGTTCTCTTTGGCACGGTCTTCAATTAGTGGGTTCATAGGCCCAGTCGAAGGTTCCCTCTCACCGGACACTCCTAGGCTTGCCATTAGTTTGAGGTTTGGGTTATGTTTTCCCGGATCTGGCCATAGCCATCCTGGCAAGATAGAGGACATCTAAGCAATCAAGGGCACGTATTGCAATTTATTTGCAAATGTCCCGAAATCAAAGAGAAATTCAGAGGGTTGCAGCCTTTCCTTCTATGAACTGCAGAGGTCATTACTGGAAATCCCAAGAGGGGGTAGGTTGGCCAGTGTTCAGTGGTTGACCTCAAAGAGAGGGCTGGCCCTTTGGCTGTTTTGAGTTGATTGTAGGTCATTTTCTCCCTGAATGGTAATAACGTTGTCCTCATATGGAAACTGTTTGACCTTTTGGTGCAAGGACGAGGGTACTGCCTTAGCTGTGGTTGTATCCATGGTCGGCCCAAAGCAGGTTGAAGCTTTAGTCGGTTACATCAATTACCTGGAAGGGGGACTTCCATCCACAGTGGGCCACAACCGTTAACTTTTAGCGTAGCAAACCCCCAACACTTCCCTCCGGGTGCTGTCATAGGCCTTCACTATTCTGGTCCGAGGGAGGTTGAAGTCAGTTTCTTCCAACCCCTAGACAGCTGGCTACTCGCCCAGTGTGGCAGACGTTCCAGCGCGACCCATTATCAATGCAGAAACCATGGCACGGTTTTGTCTCGAGTTGGAACAGTGGGGACATAAGAGCATTGTTATGACTGCCTCCCTCCTTGGGCAAATCGTCATCAGGAGAAACCGTGCTGGTCGATGTTTTAGATGATTGGGTGAGGGTGGATGACTAGCACCTCAGGGCTAACTTCCACAGGTGTCTGAAGTTGACTCAAACCTTGCAAAGAGCTTGACGTTGAGGACAAGGATTATGCCAAAAGTTTCCCAGATTGAACACCCTAGCTTGTGGTCTTTTTTAATTGTGACAGCACCGGGTCCTCCTTTGGCTCCTCTGCCCTTTGGTAGGGTTTATTTTTGAATTTTGTACAAAAACTAAAGGTTCATATTGTCTCCCGCTCCCTCTGGTTATAGCAATTCAAGTTCTCGGCTAGGTCATTCAAATCCCCAAAACACAGATGTTATTCATTTCTAGGAAACAGTTTCGAAAAGGAGTCGATCAGTTCCTGGGACCCAGCCATAAATAGCCATTTACCCGATGATTTGGTTAAGGGCGTTAGTACTATGTTTGGCTTGGCTTTCTGGAATAATTGAACGTTTGATCCACCAGGTCCTGGATGCGGTTCTTGAGTTCCAAAACACGGCTTCAGTTCTTGTGGCCCATGTCCCTGATGATTACTTCACAGTATTCATCAGCCCTGTAATTCCTCGGCAATTGGTTGGTGGTGGCCTTGCTTCCAAAGGCTTGATGTAGTTGGCCTTGATCAGCTTCTCGGAATACCAAAGGATCGGCATCCCGAGATCAGTATAGGTTCTTCTTAGATGATTGATTATTTATTTTATATATAGTTCCCCACACGTAAAAGGATTCGTGGGGGTCGATGCTAGCCACTTCGTGACCTTGCCAGCTTCGGCCTAGGTTTCTTATACTTTTGAGGTTTCCTGAGTCTTCTTTGTCAGTTGCCCATTTGAATCAGATCTTCTACCTTCGTAGCAGTTGGCAATGAGCGACTGGAATGTTGGTAAGGTACTGAGTCCCTGTAAAGATGGTGGTTAGTAGACAAAAAGGCTTGCAGGGTTTTTTATATTATGTCTACACGCCTCTTGTTCAGAAGGCCGGTTTAATCATTGGGCGGCTTTGCGCCCATCCACCTCGAAGGAACGAGGAAAAGGGTTACATTGTACATCTTTTCTTGCTGTGTGGTTTCTAGTTCTCTTCGAAGTGACATCCACGCTCCATTATAGCTGGTTATTGTGAATTGAATGGCAATTGCAGTTGTACTTCCCATGTTTCTCATTTGGATCGGTCTAAGCTGACAAAACCACCTTCAAATGCAGCACCGGGGTTTAAGGAAGATTGTTGGGAAATAACTTTGGAGCAAGGAGCTTCGCTGCTCAATTGTCCAAATTGTGTTGTTGAGAGGAGATATCTCTCTCTTTTTTTTTTTGGG